AAATGGGTAATTTCCGTATATAGAGAACCTGCAACAAGTATAGAGTATCTAGGTTAACACTTGTGATATTCCGGAATGTGCTCAAAGGATGGCGGGGCATATTTTAAACCTTGTGAATGCTGACAATTTTCTAAAAGAAGCTTTTCTATCAAACAGAGAATCAGTATGAGACAAATGATCCACTTGGTTATTGTACTCAACAGGATGAGGCAATATTATTGTTTATTTATTCCCTCTGCGAAGAATATAACAATTGCTGGTCATTCGCTGTTCTGATTGCACATCATCAACTTCGAGAGGTCATGTCTCAAATCTTTTTGCAGTTCGTCAGGGATGCCTGGCGCATGTCCACTTGAGGGCGCCACCGGCGCCGGAAACCGTCACAGAGTCCGTGGCAGAGAAGTGGGAGCATTGGCAACCGTAAGCAGTCGAGCCCTTCCTCGGCCTCATTTTGGAGCGCAGGTGCTGCAAGCTGGGCATGTGTGTCCTCAGGAAGATGTACTCCACAGTGCCGTCCCATTCCCAGCCCGGGAACTGGGTAACTTGGAAGTCACAGGATGTGCAGCGGAGATTGGCGCAAGGCCTGCGAAAGATTAATATGCATGCAGCTTGGGTGATGGAGACCAGGCGAGTTTTATGTTTATCTTTGGATATGGTTGAGATAATTTTGAGATTAGAAGAGGACGTCTTGTCCACTGAAATACTGTATAGTTTAACCCCGATTTAATGCCCCCCCCCCCACTTTTCAGTACCAGCCACATATTCCCCCTAATGAAACAAATCTCCCTCCTTATACCTGTGTTCTTGATTAGGGGAACCTTGATTTGGAGTCAACTCACGTTATGCCAAAAAAAAAGCCATTATGAAAAAAATGGGCCCGAATTTCAAGCAACTTAAGATTTTTTCACAACCTTATTAGTATAATGAGAAGCACATGTCAATGTTGAAGAAAATTGTGAAAATTATATTCCATTGAGCTCGATCAGCAGATACTTGTATAAACGGCATCTGTGAGGTACTGAATATCTAAACAGCAGATTGCTGGGCATGAAATGGGGTTGACTGACAGTAATTTTTAGGATGACAGCTCTTCATTCCTGATGTTATTGACAACAAAGCAGCACGTATGACACGACAAGTGATTCGAATGCGTTTTCTATTATACATTCGAAAAATCAAATCATGGCACAGTTCTAACTTATTTTCCTTCATTTATGTGATATAGCAGATATGAGTCCCTCTTATTTTCGAGGGAAAAGAAGTAAGAGTAAGAGGAGATGTTAAATTTGAAAAATATTGGTTTTGTGGTACGATTTGCTGAAAATAACAGAAGGATAATGCAGTAATCACGCACAGAGTGAAAGCTGCCAGATAAACCACGGATAAAAAAATTTCCTTCGGGTCGCGTTTCAGCCGTCTTTCAAATAATTTGAGACTGAACCTGTAAGAGAAAGCTTTGAGAGAACGAAGCTTTCGTTTGTATGTTGCAGATTCGGTGCACTGATGCCAAATGCAAGATCTTCACATTAAAATTTATCAATAGCGTCCGAAGAATTTAGCGTGAAAGCTCATCTTAGCGACGGCCACAAGGTTTTTTTTTTACAAATTTCTGCGAGCTGACCGAAGTAGTTATAATGGAAGGTTTCAGAAAAATCTGATGATATTGCCAATATCGTTTTATGAGGGTTGTTTCGGTTGGACGTGGCCTCTCACACTTCTATAATATAGGTGAAATTAAAAAAAATTAAACATGATATTGTCGATGATGCTCTAAAATTCTGGGATTTTTCTTCGAATTAAAAAAATAATTAAAAAAAATTTAATTCGACTGAATGGGGATTATATTGCTAGCTTCCAGCAGTTACAGCAATCATAGTACTTGACCCATGTCACAATAGGTGGTAACATTTCGTAAGGCCAGCTAAAATATAAACATGTTTTGTTGTTTTAGCAATTCTATTTTTTCCAAGTCAAGACTAGATCACTAGAGTACGGTTGAAACACAGTACTCTAAAAATTTCAGAAGTTGCTTCCAAATAGGACATTCCTCGTATGCCAATGTTCATGGTTAATCAGGAGGAATTGTTTAAAAATGCTGGCCCAACCTTCGTTTTAACCCAGCTGCTGCAGTTCCCCGAGAAGTCAATGACCCAGCCAGGATTGGGTCAATACATCGATGCAAAACGTCTCCTGGGTCATCATAATCTTCTCCGTTCGTCACGGACTTTGAATGGTCGGTGTTGAAGTCAGAAATGTCTTCCAAGATTAGTTTGATCGCCGAATCAGTCGAGTCTCTTCTTTCATGCTGCCTAAAAAAATTTTAAAAAATGCATCAGTAAAACAGTGCTCTGGAAAAGCTGAAATTACGAACGATCAAACCGCAATACTTAAGCCCAGTATGACCTGGTTTCATTTGACTCTGAATTTTTGAAATGTTAGAAAACCGGTCAGCGTGACATACTTGCACTTTTTTCAACGCCTACCGTTTACTGCTGATATTCTTCGGCTTGTTCGAACTTCTTATCTCTTCATGAACATCAACGATCAGCCCGTTCGATAAGTCAAACGCGTTTTTCGAGGACACTTCACGTGAAGACGTTGTTGCACCAGCCGCACAAATTTCGGCGTCATCAAGCAGCTCGTCGATCCCTAATGAGTCTCTTCTGCTGCTGCTTCTACTTTTGCCTGACATTCTTCATGCGCACTTGTATCCTGCTTGATATATATTCTTTCTGTTTGTTTTTTGTTTTTTCCTGGCGAAAGAGAAATAAAGCGCATTTGTTAGACCGCGAGTGAAAACTGCATCAGGTCTCACGCAAGATTGCTGAGAAAATTTCGGAGAAAGCCCGGCCTTAATATGAAGGCGTCAGCAGGACACTTTGTTCCTTCACACGAAGAATCCATATGCGAATAATCCGGTATTTTTTATTGCTGTGTCCCCTTTACTTCCCCCGAGAATGTGCATGAAGTTGAGTAGGAAAACAAGCAGGCGAGGATAGCCATTTACCTCACGTTCTCCAGCTCTGCTAGCTATACTTTCTTTATTCCAGGCATTCACTTCTATTCAGTTTAGGGGGAATTATGTTGGCTTCTTTCTAATGATAAAAATAACAGTGAACGTTCACGGTGTGACCGTCTGTGACGGTACGATGCTCAAGTATGAGATCTTCATATGTGGCAAAAAACAGAATGTTGAAGGAGTTTCTTTCTTGGTAACTGTGTCATAATACACTTATTACAGATGTACTCAGTTTCCTGATGCATGTGTCATATTTTGTTTTACTAACGATCCAAGAACTGGAGGAAAATCGCATTAAAACTTTTATGAAGCCGTTACATAGACTACCATGACACGGACGGTCAAGGCTATACTGTATTAGGAACTTCGTCTCAAAAACCTGAATTCGATTATATATTTTTTGCTGCATATACAGCATAAGACTCAACCACAAGAAGACAATAATTCACAGACTTTTCGCATCACCTTTTATTATGGAAAGGTTGGCATTGCGTTTTGAACAAAGCCAGGGTTTGCAGAAGACATTTGGTAAAAGTAAACTCTGCTGAAAACTTTTTTTCCAAAACCAAATTTTTGGAGGGACTTTTAGGAACCTTCCACTTCCATAGTTCGCATAATTCTTCCTATTTGAGAAAGCTGACCTCTTGTAAATTGTCAAAATCCAGGGGAAAAAATCGTACCCATACCAGAATTCGCATCCAAAAACCTCTCAGCAGCCGAGTAAAAAATGTTATGCTGTCCAGTTGGTCACATACGTTGGTATATAAACTAAGTGCTAAAATTAACCGCATTCTGCAAACTAATCATTGGAGAATTGCACAGCAAACAAAAGCTGCATTACCAACAAAATAATGCTTTTTGCCATTTGCAACATCTTCCAATCCTTTGCAGCGTATCTACTAGGGAATGATCAACTAATAGTCTAATACTGAACAAGAATCACTCAAACACGAATTACTGGCCAACCAAAGATATATTATAAATTTTGTATCGCCGCACTTGCCAGAATTATTTTATTCTAATAATTCAGGCCCCAGCTAATATCCATAATGTATTGAGGGTGTACTCAACCCACTGATGCACGGTCGCACCTTCTCAGTCCTAACTGAACGTGTCACAAGAACATTATATACTTGAAAAGTCTGTGAGTAATGGAAACCAAATGTTTGCCTGGAGAAAACTGTAAGAATTAAATGGGAAAAAATTATGATACCCTAGGCCTTGAATGGAACAAGAATGAATGATATTTGCACAAATCGTCATCACTCAGCACTTTCATTTGAAAAGCATTAAGTTATATTGTTCTTGCTCTTCTTATTCCCTCAGAATCATAGTTCAAAGGTCCTTGGAAGTTTTACTGATTCAAAGTGGAAAGTCTTCAATTTAAGGATGAGGTGTGTATTGCATTGTCCTTGACGGAATTCAGAAAAAGGATACATATTTGGGAGGTTGTTGACTTCGGCAGGTTTGAGTAAGCCAGGCCCAACTGTGTCTAGTATACAGTATTTAATTTTATTCACGTTCTGGAAGAATCCGTAAAAAAATCATTTCAAAATTTTTCTCAACTAGTCTCAAGGCGTGGCACATGGCATCAATGACATGGTTGTGGTCTCAGGCAGACCCAGAAAATTTCAATCATTCAAGCGCACTCGCTAAAGATAAAAAACTCATGCAAACAGCTGATATAAAAGAGGGAGAAATTCCGCACATTTATCCACAGCACACTCTTCATGGGTAAAAATGGGTTGCTATACCTATGATAGGGTGTGTAGTGTGGCATTTCCACATAGGTGCTGGATTCAGACTGATGGCAGCAAGAGCACCGTCGGTCATGTGCCAGTGGCAGAGCAGCACAGCAAGCAATCTATCGATTAGCCGACGGCAGGCGAGGCACGTCCTGCACCCGCACGGAAATCCCGGATCGATGAACGGTGGCTCATTGCAGCAATGTGTTTTATTCACGAATTTCTTCCCTATTGATGATAATGTCCCCAAGAATTGCAAAATTGCATTGAATAATACAAAGTGTCAACGATTGCGTCAAAGAAAAAAATGTTGCTAACGTTATAGAAAAATCCAAACATTTTCAATGTTTACTTGTTTGTGGTCGCGTCTGCAGGTCATTTGAACAACCATTGCCAAATTTGCAAGGATGCGGTATGAGAGTTTTCACTGCTGGATGGACCTTTGATAATTTTAGAGTAGGGGTTTCTTTTTTAATAGCATAACGTATGCCCATGATGTTGTTAGGTTTTCAGATTTTTTTTATCGTATTTTTACACAAGTTTCTTATATAACAGCATGATGAGAAGTTAAAACTTTGCAGTTACAGTGGTAGTTCTCCACCCATGTCATAGGGTGATGAAAATTTTCAGGCGAACTAAAAATTTAATTCTTCGTAGTTTTAATTATCATTTAAAAGGTAGAGCATATAATGAGTAAATCAAATAAATGCACATTTTTTAGATGACCTGACAAAATTTTAGCACCACGTGAGTGAGGCGAGTTTCAAACCTCTTGCTTAAACTGGAAAGTTTACTCTGTTCATGACGCATCATGCAGTATTTAAATACTTTTTGAAACGTGGGAAACAAATCTTAGAACATCATGGGTTATATGTCGTGTCCCATACATCAATATCTAAACTCTGAAAATATCAGCGGTTGCGGCGAAGTGGGACAACCCTTGTATTTGCACGATTTTTCAAATGTCAAGTTTTTGATTTCACTTCTTTTCCCGGAGGGCATACTGGATGATTGTATAGAAACATCAATACCCTGGATGTGGACTGAATTTTGGGATTTCATGAAATATTTCGAACAACGAAACTTCCCGCGGAGCTACTTGAACTTACACAGTTATTTGGATCTTGATTGGTTGAGGTCCGGTTTGGCATGTAAATATTTGCCCTATATATGTTCAAGTCCCTTCGATCAATTGAGGAATAAAATACCAGCCTATTTTTTTCATCGGGCACTAAAATATAGAAAAAACCAAAAGGAGGTGGCGAAAAACTGGGACGACTTCCTTCGTGGGATCCCTCCATCATCCTCTGCATCATTCGCCTATAGTCCCATCCCATGTAGTGGCAATTTTAATTACACCATGAAGGAATTTATCCAGACGACCAATGGTTGACAAAACACAGCTGTCGGTGAGATAATTCGCGGTAATCCGGCTTATTTAGGCCACTGTTTCCCACGGAGTATGAGTTTCACTCCGAACGGCTTATGCTCGGTGGTCCCGGCCACCAGCCGAACACTCCTGGCGTGCATTCCCACGACTGGCTTCAAGTTCAGCGAACCGACACGCAACTGATCATCAGACACATGTTGGGAGAAGAGCGAGAAAACGGGACCCAGCATATTTTATTTGGGGAACCATCAGGGCCACGGGAGAAAAAAACTGATGACCCAAGCGGGAATCTGGTCGATTTTCCTTTCCAAAGAAGCGATGACGTGCTTTGATACGATACGAACCTATACAGCCATCAGCAGCACCTTCGTCATCTACCCGATAGATTAATCTATTGATCGGTGGCCCCAATTCATGGCATACCATGACCTTCATTTCTGAGTAATGAGCAGTAAACATGCGGGATTGACTGCTGAGGAAAGTGGACAGCTCCTCAGAGACATTCATATCTCTTGAACGGTTGGAACTACACTAGATAAAAAAAATGAACTGAAACATCGAATTTTATTTCATTCAATTTGAAATTTATTATTTTGCGTTCGGACTATAGTACAGATGTCGCTATATGGATCAAAACAACTTGTCCTAAGCACAAGTAGGCGTGGAAAATGATAAGTAAACATGTTTTCAGAATACTGCAAATCCAACGCAATGCCAAACAAATTTCACATGGGAAACGTTCTTAGAAAGAAAGAAGGCAATTCATCTTTCAGGTTTGTATTTGCATATATGCACTGTGATTGATTTTGTTTTAACATCTATATACGGCACAGTAGATTATTTTCGATAGGCGTAAATGTGTCAAATATAGGTCTGGAAGGGATCTGGGGAAATTTAGTGAACCTTATTGTGAATACTGACCAGCAGTAAATAAGGTCTGCTTATCAATCAATCAACGAAATTTACACCAGTTATTTTGAATTTTCTATCTGATGTGAACTTCAAAAATGCTTTTAACTAGCAAAATGAAACAACAAACCTCGAATTACGCTGCGAAAACAAGTGTCTGGAGAGATTTCTTTATACTCGTATGAACTGAAACTTCGGAATTTGTTTTCCACCCGCACTAACAAAATTGTGAAGCAACGTGATAATGAATCGACGGAAATTGACGTTGGTGGGACAACAGTTTGCACCAACTGAATATGTGCATTCCAAGATATGATTTGATGGTTGTTTTTGCCAAGAACTTCATTCACGAAAGCAAACCTTTGCTTCATTATCAGCAAAAGTGCCATTTTACTTGGAACCCGGATGTAGACAACTTGAAGGTTAGGGCCATTGGTGACTTGAACTCCGCAAAGTGAAAGGGAAGCCATCCACGTGGAACAACTGTAATTCAGCAGCTGTCGATTTGCGACGGATTTTGTTATCAGCAATTCAGAGCCGAGTGAAATTGTTCCTAGTTAATAGACGAACAACTTGACGTCATTCCACGTTTTGGTCAGAGAGTGGCAGTAGCTCAGCTCAGACCTCACATCCGTTTCTTAACGCTTTTCTGAAAACATTCAAGGCTTCTTTCAAGTTTTTAAAACATTTAGAAAGCGAAAGTTGATTCCGTATTGACATGTGGGTCGGATTTTCTCTCCTGGTGTCCTTGGCAGTGTTGTGTGAGTATGGCCCAGAAATGAGATTTGATACTTCAGCAATATTCCAGAGCATGGAGAATAATTTTATCATTTTATAAAAATTAGAAGATAAAAAAATGTGCCAGTGGCTTTCATTTTATAAATCAGTTGCATTCCTTTCAAACGCAATTCAAGCTTTAGAAATAAGGCTACTGTATCACTCAAGTACCACAGCACCTTTTTTCTTGAATTTCAAAAGGAAAAAAAGGGGTGCGCATCATTAGCGGGTACAAATTTTTCAAGAAGTTTTAGGAAGTTATGTGTGCATCATACTTAATTATAATGGAGAACTTTGGAACAAATGTAACAAGAAATTTTTTTTTACTGAAAAAGTTGAAAATTGATCAGATTTTTGTTCAATTCATGCCTAAAGTCAAATTTTTTGTTCTTATTATCGAAATTTTGTGGTTTTAGATTCACTAAAAATTGGGGTGCAAGTATTACTTTGGGATAAGATTTTAGCAAAATTTCCAACTGAAAAACCACTGTGCATGCCTTACTTGAGGGCATGTGGTACTCAAGTAAATACAGTACATATGCGTTGTTATTTTTTATTGTATTTGAATAATTGACAGTCACACAATCAGGTGAGCTTTGTATCTCAAGATATGTTCTGTTGTGATAGCAGTAGAAATAAACACTGACTTTTCAATCTAGTCAAGGATCAACGAGAGTACGTCAGAGCGAGTTTATTTTTTTTTAAAGCTCTTAATTCACGGGTTCTTTTCAATATTAGTGCCAACAGGCCATGGAAAACCAACTAACGTTCCCGAGCAACCCGAGGAACTGAAATTGCTCTACGCAGAGGTTGCGAAGATCAAGGCTGAAACCCCAAAAGGATATGCTTGCTATGGTGACTTATTGAAGCTTATTACTAAATGCTTGAATTAGGCTTATACTGTACAGTAAGAAAAATTGTGCTATTCATTCAACTTGGAGCACTTTCATGTACCAGCGCTTTTCCTGTAAATTAAATATGTTTTGGAAAACTCAACTTTAGTTACCGCAATTTTGAACAAGAAATATGAATGGCCATGGAGTGCCTCATTTTGTGAATAAAATTGAGAAAAAAAAAATTGAAATGCAGAGAATTTGGGCTGCTTCGACACCGAGCACGGAGCCATGTCACATTTGGGAACCCTGCCCACGTCACCCTCCAGGCTGGACGCCAAGCTGTTGCTCTACACCCGCAACAACCGCGACGAGCCACAGGTTGTGTCCTACCTCGACGACGGGTCCCTGGATGCCTCCAACTTCGACGCCAGCTTGCCCGTGAAAATCCTCACCCACGGGTTTGGAGAGTCTGGTTCCCACTACTGGATTGAAGGAGTCAAGAACGCTTACCTGGATCGGGTTTGTGCTCTATTTTCTTTTTTTTAATGAACACTGAACATCTTCGTGAGCTCAAAAAACTTGATGGAAAAGAAAGTTGCCCCTGCGACGGTATAAAAATTATGTAATTCACTAAAATTTCGTCACAACAAATCCGGCTTTAATGATTTTTTGCTATACAAAATATTGTATTGGTCCCAGCAGTTTTTTTATAGGGACTATGTAATTTTTTTCTAAATACAAAGCTATTTTCCTCTAATAGTCTCACAATAATATATTGTTACCTGGATTAGGTTTGCACGAGCCATAGAAATGTGTATTATAGTTGGCAGAATGAGGGAAATCCCGACTTGTGCTTCATAACTGTTGAAACATCAACTTCAAAATATAAATTAGCATCTTTACATACATAAAATTTAGCGTTGCAGGATGTTCAAATTAAAATTTAACTGCTTTCTTAGAATGTGAAAAGGACTAATTTTAGAATAAAAATATGTACAGTGAGATACTATTAGCTTTTCATCACAAAATCATGTTTCAATATGCTCATGAATCTTGCTGTAACAAAAGTTTTGTCACGGCACATTTTTTCCTTGTCCCTTCAGCTTCTTCATTAAGGAAACAGTGTTATGAAAATTCTGTTACATCAAACTACTTTTTCTCTGTAATCTCGTCTAACACATTATTTTCTCAGGTATTCGTGCATGGGCCTTTGAAATGTTTACTATGTGACACGAAATGGGAAAATCTACCTTGTGCATAATTGAAAGAACTTTGATGATAAACTTTATATGCAAAAAGTATACAATGAAAATTTAGCATCGCGAGAATTGTGAATAAGAATGCATTTGGCTTTTTCAAGACGTAGGACTGACAAAATTGTAGAAGAAAAGTACAGTAAGTGCAAACGGATATTACGGTATTACATGTTTTCTACGAAATTTTAGTCAAACATGCATAAAAAGAACAATAATGAATCTTATTGTACTGAATTTCGAGTTCGGTATGAATAGAGTCATGAAAAGTTTGTTGTGCCCAGATTTCATTTACGGTCAAGATTTTATGAATTTGTTTGTAACCGATTATTTTGTTCATTATCTGGGTCGCGCATGTTGGTATAACCTGATCGAATTTTTGTTCCTATGTAGGAGCCGATGAATATAATTGCAGTGGACTGGCAATTGGGAGCTGAAGGCTTGAACTACATCCGTGCAGCAGTCAACACCGAAATTGTCGGTCGAATGATAGGTAGTCTGGTCAATCTGATGGTGGCTCGCGGAACGAACCCATCCAACGTTCACCTTCTCGGATTCAGTTTGGGAGCACAAGCTTCTGGATTCGCCGGCGAGTGGCTCAAGTACTTGAACCTCAAAGTAGGTCGTATCACTGGTGAGTGGAATCGAAAAGGAAAACGTATTATCGAGAAATGCATCTTCTCAAGAAAAGGAAGTTTACAGCAGCATACATTATACTACTGTACTATTAATCCGTTCTCGATGAACTCAATATACTGTATATATAGGACTGGACCCAGCTTCTCCTTTTTTCACTGACCTGTCGTCCTACGGAGACCAGACGCACTTGGACCAGAGCGATGCTGACTTCGTCGATGTGATTCACAGCAATGCGGCTTCTTTGCTACTGGGGGGTGTTGGTGCCAAAGAACCCCTGGGACATGTGGATTACTACCCCAACGGTGGAGAACACCAACGCGGTTGCCCTAATGTCATCGTTTCTACTATTTCCGGTCTTTTCGGTAAGGATCCCATTTAATACACGGGAGAAGGTCGGGTTTCTGCTTTGAAAATCTGCAACGAATCGATTATTTTTGCAGAAAGTCCGTCAGGAATTTCGGATACGCGTTTGGACATTTTGAATAATCAAGTTACAGTTGCTCGACTGAAAACTAGAAAATTAAATATTATACTGGTACTCCTCGTTTCAAACTGTTTTTCGTGGAAGATTTTTATTAACTTTCATCCGGTTTCATTGCGAAAAAAGGACAATTTTCACAGTGGGAGTTATTCAAAAAAAAAAGGTTGCCTAAGGCCAATTATTTCTCTGGATTCAAACTACAGTAAAGTACTGTACTGTATTTGCTTTTTATGCTAGGGATTCTGCTTTTATCATCAAGTAATCCGATCTGTCTTGAAAACTGTCCATTTCTTGTGCAATAAAAACATATCGTGAAGTTTAACCACTCAAGTCAAATACTGACAGGAGCAAAAACGCGTGAACAGTATTTTATGCAGCATTTGAGGAGATTACTTTAATTTTACATAAATTTAATGTTCTCATAAATAATCATCGAGTAAAACGAATTCGTTTTTTAGTTTCCTGCCCATATAGCCTCAATGTTGAAAGATTGTCGATAAAACGCATTTCACCTTGCAATAAAACTTTTTTCTGGTCCTTTAGTAATATATAGTGGCTTCGTTGCAACAATATTTTATTGTATTGTAGTGAATTTCTCGCCCATGACCATGAGCGAAGAAGTTCGAATGACCACAGAACAACTTTTTAGATTTCAAAAATCCTACTCATCTCTTGTGTTTGCCCGAATTTATTTCCGCGTAATTTTACTTGAATTTTTGTAAGAAAAACAGATTGAGAATGTATTTATGTCTTGCACAAGAACAAACTATTTTAGCGAGGGCTTATCTGAAAATTTTTGCTGAATACATTTCTAAAAACAAAATTAGTGCGCCCGCCTTCGCGGGCACAGACCAGGCAAAAAATAAAAAAGCGAGAATGAATACGGGTCTCCCATCATAAAAGGAATCTCTATTCCAATATAATTGGTTTATAGAATACAGTTCTTGTCATAGCTTTGGTGATGAGACATAATCCTTTCTTTTCGCAGGAAGCAACGGCGAGGATGAAGACGCCATTTGCAACCACCGAAGGGCTCACATCTACTTCGAAGAGTCCATCCGCCACCCAGAGTGCCCGTACACCGGGTTCGCTTGTCCCGGTGGTTACGACGACTTCACTGCTGGCAAATGCTTCTCTTGCGGCGATGGAACCAAGTGCGGACACATGGGTGATGCTGCCATCGACTCCTCTGCACGAGGCTCCCTGTTCCTCAGCACCAGCCCAACCCCTCAATACTGCGGTAAGAAATGACTCGTCCTGATGAGGAAATGAAAAGTTAGCCTCCTGTTTATATTTTCATTTTATTTGCGTTTTTCTCTCCAATGATCTCCCCCGGGAATATCGTAGTTATATCTAGCCAAATGCGGATACAACGTTGTTGCATTTTAAATTAAACAAAAAACGCATGACGAGGTTTTAAAAAAAAACTGATCGTTTTTCTCCTGGATCTCCGAGCATAAAATTTTCATGAAAAGCTATTTCCAATTACGACACTAATCACTCACTTTTAGAGATTGGCAATTGAAAAAATGAAAANTAAAACAATTCGGAATTCATTCATTTATTTCCACTTATGGGAAATTTGTTGATATGTGTTCAAAATTTCTCATTGGGATGATGAAGTATGTGGCACATTTGAACTTCTGAATTTTATGAAAACTGCATTGTCACTCATGACGCGCATTCTTATTTTTTTCACTAAGAATAAGGAAAAAATGAAGATTCACCATATACTGAATTGAATACTATCTTTTTTTGAAATCATTCGGGCCTCCTTTCGATGTGATTCATGTATTGTATTGAATGGATTGAACAGGTACACAGAATTACATCGAGTACAGGTCCGCTGGAGGTCTTGACAACCTCGTGACATTCGGATCTATCGAAGTCGAAGCTATGGGTCAACGCATCACAGTTGTCGAGTAAGTTTCCGATTGTTTGTTTTTTCTTGAATGAATACACTCTTTGAATGAATTTAATCTGGAAACAATTTTTTTTACCGTGCTACAGACAAGGTTCCATGATGATCGCTGCTCAGACCAATACCGTTTTTGAAACAACACCATTCAATAGCGAAGTCAATACCGACAAACTTCACGTGAAAATCACATACAACCGATCCAGTGACGGTATTATCAACGGTGGTGGCACCTGGCGTATGGATCATCTCAAAGTCTTCACTGATTCTGGAAAGTAAGTACCCTGAAAATGCTGAAATCAATTCATACTTCCTTTCAAAGTAGTATGAAAAACCAATGTACTGTAATTCGAAGTAAAATTTTTGGAACAGCAGTTTTCGTGCTGAAAACCACGAAGTGTTATATTCACGAACCAAAAATAGTGACTGATGTTCTCAGAAGACACTCAGCATGATCTGAAGTATTCAACAGTTCTACTATCTTGAAAAGTCAAATTCACGAGCGTTTTACAGCCCAACTGAGTGATGGAAGGTTTTACAACGATAACCATGCAGCATTGTTTCTTTTTTATTGTGGTATAACGTTGATTTGTTTCAATGTTTAAAAGTTTTCCTTTCCCTGTTTCAGCAACTACTATTTCTGTCAAAGACGTCTCCCTCTGCAAAGCGGTGTTCCAGTTGAAATTGAGCTGACAACCACACCTTGCTCTTGTCCATGCTAACAACTCCAATTTACACAGAATTTCTAAATTTTTTCCATCAGCACATGTCAGATCGTCGGGCATTGGTCGTGGCACAAAAGATAAAACAGCGTTGTACCTCATGTAAAAGAAAAAATTATTGCTCACTCGTCAAACTTCTGGGAATTAGAATCCTTTATTTCGGAAAGTAAATGATCCTGTCGTCATTCAAGGACGAAACGAAAGAGACCAACACATAAATACGCGATAAATATAAACGCATTCATCCGACGTCAGTTTGCCGATCGCACATAATTTTAGTCGGAAGTTGGACCGAGGTCTCCACCAAACATGAGTTCCTTCAATTCGTCGTACAACACAAGCACTAAGGCCCCACCAGTTCCACGGAGAACATTGGAAAATGCACCCTTGAAGAAAGCTGCTCCACCTTCCTGGGCAAGGATTTTCTTCCAGCAGTCGATGGTGTTTTTGTATGCAATGTCAGCTCCTTTCCGGCCAGATTGCATCATCATGCGACGTCTCACGGTGTCGAAGGGATACGATGTGAAGCCAGCAACAGTCGTGACAATCTAAGATGATAAAAACATAGTATATATATATAGTCAAACGTCAATAATGAGCCGTCGCCATTTTTTAAAGATTTGTGTCAGTTTGACAGAGTTGACGGCTTGAGAGGAGTTGGTATTTTACTACGTACAGTTTATGAAAAGCTGTGTGTATTGAAGGTGCATTTCCTCTACAATGCTCTAGTCTAGAACAATATTCTATGCATAACGAATTTTCATTTGGTGTGAGAGTATCTTTCCACCGTGTAACAGTCGTTCTCGATCTGCAACAACATTTTCATCATCCATTAAACTTTACATGGAGTGCGTCCTCCGGTAATAGGAAATTCTCATTCTTCTGGAAAAGCTACGAAATTATCCTGGCGTGCAGAAATTATACCAAGCTAATGTTTCCAAGAAGTAAAGTATTTCCTCTGTTTGACAAAATGAAATGTTTTTATCCTCAGAGAAGAATATTATAAATATAAATTGGTAGTTTCTGAGGGGGTGTGCCTTATCTAGGGATTTGACGTATTGGGGTTTGACCGCGTATTGCTTATTACAAGAACAAATACGGAGTATAAGTCAAGAGGCGACACCTGAGCAATGAACCATTTAAACAACAGAGATGTGTTCTTTGGGTCAGGCATGAGGACGTGTCTGGCGGTGTCGAAGAAACCAAAGTAGGAAGCTCGGTAGATGATGATCCCCTGAACTGAGACACCGAACCCACGGTACAAACCCATCAGGCCATCAGATTTCAAATTCTTCGCTAGACAGTCAATCAATCCATTGAACTCTCGATTCGACCCCTTTCCGACATCAGCAGCCAGTCTGGAAATGAATTTCTTTCAATGTTTATCAATTAACGAAGTGAATCATGGCACAATGTTTGGTAAAGGATAACTTATGTAGTTGAGAAAAAATTCCATAGCAGCAGTTACATCTACAATATGGATTCGAAAACGTTTGCATAATCTATGCAGAGTTTGGACCCTTCACACTAAAAAAAATAAGATCAAGTGGTCCATTACGCAATCAAAAAATATATTGCTCCATAACTGTCACAATTGCAAGTATGTTACGAATCGCCAATCACAATTTCAATATAGATGTATCCATTCACTTGGCTTAATATCGCAATGGGAATTTATATTCCTTCCAGTTGCCTACGGTGCCTTTAAATTTCATTGAAATGTAGCAATTTCCCCATTTTTCACAAATTACTTCTGAAGATATACTTTTAATGAGTATGATGAGTTTTGAGTATTATCAAAGAGTATAAATCTTCAAAGAGTAAGTGATGCGTGTAATGCTCTCTCTTTTGCTTTAAATATCCTCCAGAAAAAAAAGTTTGCCTGCTTGGGTCAAGCAATAATTAGAATTATAATACAATTATAAATGGAGAAAAATTACTTATCGTAAGATTATTCCATGAATTATTACATTGCATTTTTATTGCAATTAATATTAATATTTATTATTATAATATCAGTATTTCCTGATTTGTACAATTTGCTAAAATTTTAGTAAGCGTCTTTCATAGAAAATCAGTCTTCAGTTAATTAAACTGTGGAAAATCAATGTGGGCTAAATTTCAAAATCGTTGTTTCAATTTAATTACTATTGATTTCTCATCAGGATCTGAATCAATTCGTTGAAATCGGGCTTGCAGCGCTGCGGTACTTACACTGAGTTTGGTATTGTGATTATACACTTATTTTATACCAATCGCAATAACAAGTATGCATGCAATTGCCATTGCAATTGCAATTTCAATTTTTCAAAAAGCACAGCCTCATATTGCAATTGATATAGTGCAATGCAAAAATGTTTCTTGTTCAATTGCAATTGCAATATCAATTTTAGCGTTATCAAATCAGTGATTGCCGGAAATTGTGGTGCTATGAACAAACCTGGTACAGGAACTGTGCAAGTGAACCTGCAGATATGGAAATTGGTGTCTAGATGTCGCTAGTGGATGATATTATTCATGCAAGAAGAAATCAACGCTTGCGAACCGTAGTTTCTTACATGAAAGAACTATAAAGCTATAGCAAGTCTGGTGATTATACAAACAGCATAGACTTGAGACGAATAGTTGACTTAGGAATCAAGCAGTTACTGTTAACTTCGACAGATATGCTGCTCGAAAAAAAAAACTGGAAAAAAACCCTGAGGAATGAATTGACTTCACAAACCTAGTTCGAGCGAAATCGAGGGGATATACGAAACACAGCGATGTAGCTCCAGCAGCTCCTCCAGAAGCCAAGTTGCCAGCAAAAAACCTCCAGAACTGAGTATCTTTGTTGACACCTCCGAGGAAGACCTGCTTGTACTTATCCTTGAAGGCAAAATTCAAGGCCTGGGTCGGGAAATACCGAATGACATTGGCCAAGTTTCCTCTCCATAGAGACGAGAAGCCCTGTTCGCGCGGGATTCGGACAAGGCAATCAATGATACCTTGAAAAGAAAGAAGAAGTGTATAATCATTCAAAAAACGCAATAAAAATCATTTGGATACGAGGGTTTACCCTTGTATTGCTTTTCTGGGCTCAGTTGCTTCGAAACAGCTTGAACTTGAAGCAACAGTTTCACTCTTTCGATTGGTGCTACAGCAGTTTTTGAAATTGCTGCAGCGACTCCTCCAGCCAAGAAATCCTTGGCGAAGGAAACTGGATCTATCATGCTCATCATCTTGATGTTATCCTGTATAGATGCATCACACGTGAAATCAAACAAAATTCAGAAGAACTGGATGGTATTCACAGATTTGCAGTGCAGGCAAACATTATTTTAACATATCGTCATACTTTGTCATGCCTATCAGAAACGCGGAGACAAAATTGATGCTTATGATTTGCTAGTTACGAGGGTTGTCCCAGTTCGACGCGACCTCAAATATTTCTAGAGAAAGCCTGATGTTGAAAAAAATCACGACATAGCCTATGATGTTCGAAGCCACGATTTTCATTGAATTTTTAAAAACAGTGCAATTAACGGCAGGATAAAAAGTGAACATTCCGGTTACATCATTCAGAGTTCTCCACCCATGTCATATGAGGCTGAACATGTGGCAGACCAGAAAAAAAACCCTACTTGTGGAACCCTTGCCTAAACTGTAGAGATTATGATGGCTTCACAAAGAATTCAAAATATTTTAGCTGGCATGAAAAATTTAATCACTCAGCAGTGAAATGATTGAGAACTCTCACAGCATTTGGAAAATTTTTATCTGAATGGAGTAAATTGAAAATCTTAAAAAAAAAATCCGAAAAACCCCCGAGAATGTCAGGACATCATGCAGTAGATGAAAATTGCTTTTTAATATCACTGGTACTGTTGAAATATCAGAGGTTGCGTCCAACGGGAACAACCCTCCTATAAACTTATTCGTATCATAATCATTGCATAGCTCGAAGTGCATTGGCATGTACTTTCAACTCGCCAGGCATGTCAAGCGAGATACGATAAATTGAAGAACAATTAACTTTTTTTTTGGCCTAGCCATGCCCCATATTTCGAGTTTTTCATGCTGAGATTAACCGAGACTCACCCTGAAGTCTGCTGAACCACAGAAAAAGTTAATCGGCGGCTGTGGCGCGACTAACGATGAGGTGAATAACTGGATGACCACAATTTGAGGAATAAAAATTCTGCTTTCCTCCGAACCGTGCTGAACACCACTAAATGTTTTTCGAAATAACTTGAGGAAAACTTTTCTCACCTTCTATGTCACCCACGATTGCCACGAGTTAGATATTTCGAGCGAATGATAATCTCCACAGAATTGAGACATTCATAGTGTTTTACTTAATGGTAGGACCGTTTCATCGAATGCTGACGGGGAAATTAATTACTGATCTCGTCTTTAGGAGTTGAACGAAAAATATCTGACGTAAATGTGTTCCCTCCACGACATTTCTTTTTCGAATGAATCTTAGTCAAAGCGCAGTAGTGTCCTTAAAATTACATCTCGGATCAAATTTCCTGTTGATATTTTGACTTTGCAGTGAATTATAAATGTTCGATTCTTTCGTCCTATGTATAGTTTATTTTTTTGAATATTCAACTTTCGGTGAATAATTTTTCTGATGACGCATGTGCAGTACTATAGGAAAAAGACGGGTTGAAAAACTTAAATTTTTTTTGTCAATGTTAAAATTGTGTTCGAAATTTTAATGGAAATGGTTCTGTGGAACATCTCAAAATTGCACTCATTAATTCATGTCATTGTTACCTATGCATGCATAAACCTTGAGGAGCAACAAAGCTCTTATTTTACACTGTCTGACCAGTGAGCATACTAGAATGCTTTTGTAGATATCTTTTCTCCCCCCTTGAATAAAATATTGTTTGAAATTAAAACCTTTGGTGGGCGCCACCTGAACACCTTGTCTTTCAATTTGGGTTCAGTAATTGCCTTGCTGAAATTCTCAGCATTGATATTTTGTTTTTGTTATCAACTAGGGGAGGGAAGAAAGTGTATGCAATTGTGCATTTTGGGTTATATTCCCTTTTTGTTTAACATCCATATGCTGTACAGCTTATTGCTCTTTTTTCCATTCTGATGTGATGGAATGTGTTTGGTTGAATAAGGAAGGGTATAAGGGAGGAGGTTTGGAGGTGTGAACATTGCGTGAATCTGGTGAACACTGAAAAGCAGAAAATTAAGATTGCTTTTCAATTCCTCATAATAATATACATGTATGGCTTTTCTCAAATGACAAGTTATGCAACACATCAAACAAATTTTACAAGTGCCTGGATGAGTATTCTCCAACCTGCGGTCTGCAGATCAGTGCTGGTCCTGATAATTTCTTTGCCAGTCTGCAGGAAAATTTGTTCCTCACCATGAATTTATGAAAAGTAATAATGAAGTCTGTTATTACAATCCAAAATTTCAGACACAATGGCAATTCAAATTATTGGATGAAAAAAATTGTTTGTTCTTCTCCTAACAATAATTCAGACATATTTTCATCTGCTGAAATATCTTACTTCCAGTTTTTAACCTGAGAAACTTTTCTTCCAGCCCAGCATCTTAAAAAAGGCATTTCCACTTCATACCTTCTTCAGTCATTGTCAGCTTTTTTTTGCATTACAAGTTTTGTTCTGAGAACTTTATGGCAGGTATTTTAAAATTTTTTGCTGATCATCAAAAATTGCAAACATTACTGGTCTGTGGAAAATTTTATGAAAATATGCTGGTCTGCAGCAGAGGCTGTTATCAAAATTGCTGGTCCGCAAGCCCAAAAAGGTTATGGAACACTGGCTTCGATTATATGAGTACAATTGCATCGTATTGCGTGAATGAATGGAGTTTATTTCTTTAGGAAGGCTGACATTTGAAATAAATTTTTGTGTGTTACAAATGCACACTTTCCATCATCATCATGATGAGCATATTGAGAGATACGATTCTCTGGGTTTTCTGACAAATCGAAAATTTTTCAGGGCAAAATCGTTCTGTAGTGATGAAGTTTCCAAGCAATGGGATCAGTTATCTACTGATTTGTCTTTAGTTGTAGGGATTATGATCAACACACTTTCCCAAAATTGCTCTTGGAAGGATCTCTTTGAATGAAATTGGGTGCACAATAAATCATGAGAGACGAAACATGAAACTTTTTTTGGAATGCTACAAAAAAGTTTTGAAACATTTGCATCTGGTTTTGAATGGTGTTTCTTCTATGCTGTGGACAACCTAAAAGCTCCGGGCCAAAAATGGCAGCTTTTATTTTATTTTACGCGGCGGTTTGGCTTTTCTTTTCATCGTCACCAATTGCGTCGTTCCATCACTTCAAATTGGTCTATCATGCTTACAATGAATTCATTCGAATCTGATGCGATTCCGATGGGAATTGAGGTCTTGAATTCAAGTTCCCTGAACGATCTGAAACGAATGATCGCTATAGCGGGTGTGCATTATTCTGGCGTCGAGTCGTCGGCGTGTGCGTTTGTCTCAGGATTCCGCACGGGACATGTTGATGGGAAAGAATTGGAGTTCGTGCCCGTAGCTAACGAATGCTTGCCGTCTGTCGGCGCGTTGTCACTCGTTCCCCGTGATCACTAGAGTTCTCTCGGATTTTGGGCAACGTCAGCTGAACCAGCAGGCGGGATTACTCTTGACTTTTTCAAGGCTTCATCAGACCCGATTGTAATTCAGACAAGTGTATATATGAACTGAGCATCACGATTCGAATTCCGAGACGTCTGATTCCTGCAAAACGTATTTCTTGTGAGAATCATCATTTTTGGCTGTGATGAATTTATAAAAATTAAGTGTGCTGGGGAGGGATGCTGCACATCACTATTGCATTATATTTCCAAGTATAAAAAGGTTTTTTTGTGTGTGGAATGAATCATAATTTTTGGCTGGGATGAATTAAACAAATTATGAAAATTGTGTGCTGGGAGGGATGCTGTAAATCACTGCTGCATTCTACATAACTTTCAAGAAGTCTGCAAAGGTTTTATTTGATGTGGGACTCATCATTTGTCTGCTGTGATGACGTTTTGAAATTCGAGTGCTATTCGTGGGAGGGATGACATAATGAGCATGATTTTTCCGCTTGCTCCAAATAATGCAGTATTTCAGCTCATGTTGTGTGACACCTGACACGCTGTTTCTGTCTGCCAAAGCGAGGCATAAAAATGATGATCAAGTTTAAATGAATGTATCTTAGTTTTCCGCAATAATTCAAGTTGTTTCATTACCATTTGAAATGTCTACCGACGATTTTAATGCGTGGTGGAATCTTGGTGGTGCCATGGTTGTCATGGTGAGTATATGGTTGGATTTTTTCGATTTTCTTTGTCCTCAACGAGAAGAAAAATGCTGGCATTTGTTTTTAAAACTGGAAACGATGCTCATTTATAATAATATTTTTCAATTCAGTTTCTATCCACTGGGATTGTACAAACGTTTGGATTTTTATACGAAAGTACACGGGAGGAGTTGAAAATGAAGCTTGCGCTTTTCACTTGGGCATTCAACGTTGGAATAACGCTGCAATTCGTTTTTTGTGAGTATTTCGTCGCATTTATGATGTAAATGCTGATTAGAAAGCTAATGCGATCTTGTCAGCTAAAGCACGTGTTCTCTGCTGCGTTCCTCGATAATTTTCGTACTGCCCTGAATTTTCTGGACGCATTCTCCCTCAAAAGGGAGTTAACTGGCCAACAGAGCAAAGATTTGTTCACAACTCATAAATGTTCAAATATTTGCGCTCCTTTCCACATGATGACTTTGATGGTAGTGTTTTGGGATGAGGAAAAGGTAACGTGGCGTAATCATTCCGTCTGAAAATTTCAACGAAGTGCGTAAAGTTCAGGGCTAAAGTAAAAATGAAGGATCAAGAATATTCCTTTTCTATAATATCCCTAACCACCATGGTACAGAAGATGGATCACTGTACGCGAAGTCGTGTGCAGCACTCACACAGAAATTAAATGGCCTAACGCACAAATATTCTGTGAATTAAGTTTATTATAGTACCCGCCGGTTATTTCTTCAACGCGAAAACTGACAGATGATCTGACATGAAGGAAACATTATATGGGCTAAAATTGGTCTAATCCTAAGTCTCGTGCTGTTGATGAAGATAAACTTCAAAAAAATCATGAAACAAGTTCGTCTGTAAATTGGCCTTGTCTTTTCAAATTGAGGTTAATTGGTAAAGCATCAGGCATGAGCTCAACTGAATTTAATTTTCATGTTTTGGGAAGTCACGAAAATAATGTCAAGATGCGAAGCTTTCCCGAAGTCGAGTCTATGCTGGTGGGACGTATTATTATCCTACCTCCTCACATGATTTGGTTGGCTTGTTTTTGAAGGTAAACCCCCGGTCATCCCATTGAACCCTGACTTGACCTGTTTTGTATGGAGCTAAAGCCGGAAACGCGTGTGATGAAACGGGTTTAGGTGGGGATGCTTTTAGAATCTGCGGATTGTCGAGAATTTGGTTTTCTTTTTCATTGCTGTGGGAGAATCTTTCTCGTAAAATTCGTGGAGCCTATTGGAACGCATAATTTCGAAAGGAATTTTCAGATTACCGTCTAATCACCAAGACAATGTGCAGTATATCTACATCTGAATCAATTAATTAGCTGAGCACTCATTAAATCTTTTTTTGCATCACATCACTGGAATAATTCACTCCAGTGTTTGAGCTGGAAATTTAATCCATTATTTCACATTATTTTCATTTAAAACACATCGATCCATAATATTGCTGACTTTTTCATCCGAGGGTAGTCAAAAAATTGGCGATTTGAAAATCATGTGAAAAATTCCGCAGCAAGTGCTGAGGGTTTCAACGCGAGTAATCAATCTTAAAAGTATCTTTTGTTTCGGGTACACATATTTGGGGAGATTGCAATTCTCTCATTTTCAAGCCCATGTTACAAATTCGAAGAGAGACAAGAAAAGCTAGAACTGTTAATCATCTAAATTTGTTTCGAAATCAAACGAATTGTATTATAAATCAGCCAAGTGACACTCATCTCCACAACAGCAGGGACTAAGTTTCAGATGCGCATGGAACGCCGTTGCCAACGCTTGGCAATCTGAAAAACGCTTAACTTCTCCCGGAAATTTGTGCAGGTTCTAAGAAACCCATAAAAAAACGTGAATTCAATTCTGACAATTTTTGCAGGCATTGGTGTTTGCAGAATGTTGGAATGCATGTCCCACCGCACGCTGCTCAGCATTGGCGGTTTCATGGTCAGCGCTGGGGTTTTCATCAGCAGCTTCGCAACAGCCCCTTGGCACATGTTCATCTTTTTCAGCATCCTGATTGGTAAGCAGAATTTT